TGTGATTTAATAATCAAGGAAAAATATGGAGCTGACAAATTCTTCTCAGTCACAACAATTACCATTACACCAGAGTCAGAGACAGTTTGAAATGTTGTTGTTTATATTTTTCATTCACAACTAAACTGTAGTTTTGTATATGATATGACATTTTTGAATCTTTTTAAACCTCACTCATTCAGAAATATTTGTTAATGGTAAAACACACTACTGTGGAAAGTGAAAATGTAATCAATATAAATTGGAGGTATTATTGGTTGTAAATATCATTGCTTTTAGTTTAACAAGGTATCATTTGTCGGTTGTAGGTGCCTCACTATTGACATTGTGGCTAAAGTTAAAATACAAATTAATATACATTTGATTAAATCCTTATGATCGATGACTTGTATTTCCAAAGGATCAGGATGGGTTTGTGTCCGACGTCAATACCAGATTAAGTCAGTTTTTCCCTCTCTTGGTCAAGTCTTCCATTTAATCTAGAGAGCTTTTACTTAAGGCAAATGTGTGCTGTTGAATGTGAGAGCTTATTGGTTTGTGTGTAAGTGGATTTGGCGGCGACGATGACCGAAGCTCAGCACCACAGACCTCTCAGACAACACGTTTGAGGCAGAGACAGACGGCGCTGACCGCCAGTCAACTTAAAAGCCATTAAAAGCAAACAGCGCGGTGAGAGATGCAGGGAGAATATTGACTTGTACTTTACTCAGGGGATGGCAGAGCAGAAGAAAAAAAAACAAGAAGGATCTCAAAGAAAGATGAAGAGTGGAGACATGGCTTGTTTCCACCACCTGAAAGACATGGGCCTGCAAGACAAGACTTTTGGATAACAACATAGAAATGATACTCTCTCCTCTGAGACAAGTGCCAGCAACCTGTAAAACTCAAAGTCATTACAGGTTGTGGTAACAGAAGGGTTTGGTGTTTCATTACTGAGAGACTTTACTGTCCCACACCATATCTGCTCTTGTCACACAGTCCATTCATCATATCCTCTCATGTTGGCTTTGTGGGATAAGCAATTTAGGAGGACAAAAAGGGCAGCCTGTGTTAATTCTGCAAAGCTCCAAACTTTTAATTAGGACAAGCCACGAAACAACAACAACATTAACAATAGAATACAAAACAATAAAAGGGTAATTATCGTGAAGCCATACTCTGGCTGCCAAGAACACCATAAAACTAATTACCGATGTCTGACAGCAGATGGTTTGGGGGTGGCAACTAAAACTAGGAAGGGATATGTACATCAGAGGATGTGCTTTTGCACACATGTAAAAAGAAGGTGTTAATACCAAACAGAGCTTGTAGTTTTCCTTAGTCTATGTCATTTTTACAGCAACAGTGTATTTGTTGAGGGACAGACAAGTAGTATGATTAACAGATTCTCCTTCAAATGCAATTAAGGCAACAAGCTGGAAGGATGTTCAGCAGTACATACAAGAGGCGCTTTGTGATTCTGTGGTTGGATATCTAATCTCCAATCCAAATAACAAGGGTTTCTTTAAAGGACGGGACACTCGTGAACTTCTGACTTCACTAACTGTTCTTGACCAGCACATTTTTAATTGCCTTCAGATGTTATGAAAAAGTAGCCATCACTGTGTGCAGACCAGGCAGCTTCGGTTCAAGCAGAGGTAAGGAGTTGAGGAAAGGTCACCTAATTAAATAGAAGAACAAGCAAACATGGCCCAGTCAAAGCAAATAGCCCGGGAGTGATTTCCAGTTGACATAAAACAGTTTGATGAACACTATGTCAAACTATTAAGCCGTGTCCTGGTCACCCATGCAGCTCAAACTCTGCTGTAATGGAGAAATATATTTGTGTATGTCAGAGTAAACAAACGGCACATTGGCAGGTCTGCAGACACTCTAACAAAGCTAGTGTTTCATACAGTTTGACGCTGTGAGACTTTATACTTCTTGCTTTTAAACGTCTGACTTTGTTCCTTATATGGCCATGCCTGCAGATTGAAACGGGGCCCTCCTTATTGAATTTCAGGACTGATAGCTCAGACCGATTTAAAAGGCTGAACCTGGAACATGTTGAGGACACCACTTTATATTCCTGAAAGCATGGTGGCGGCATTCCAAAAGCACTGGAATAAATGTAATTAACAATTATGGTCTGCCCTGCTTGACATCTCATTATTAGAGCTTTCCTGATGTCCTTCGCTTCTACTGCCTGCATCTTCTTCTCTCTGCCAGGGAAATGTTTTTAGTCAGTCAAACACACACAATGACAGCCGAGGGCTGAGACGGACAGGAGTCTAAGGGAATGCTTGCGTTTAAGTACATTTTTGGCTTGCACTTCAAAACCCGGGGTTGAAAGAACTTCCAGCAAACAAGTGGATTAGAAAATCCATTTGTAAGCCTTGACACTGTGCTGCCTGCTGATATTCTGACATAAAGAGAGTAGGTGGGTATGTGGTATGCACACATGAAACACACTGTCAAACATGACTGTCTGCGGCTAACCATTAGACCCAGGTGAGGTGGCTGATGGATGATATCTGTGTCTGCCTGAAATCGTTCCCATCCAGTTGAGTCCGGAGCGTGACTGGATGGGGTCTTGTAGAACTTCTCAAAGTCAAAGAGTGAGATGACTTTCTAAACTAGCTCACCGCTGAGCAGGGTGACAGCAACATCGCTTTTATTTCTGGAATGGCTTGAAGTGCTTCCTTAACCTAATGATATTCCTACATTTTACATATCAAACACGTTCAGAGAGAAAAATTGGTTCCAAGCAATGCGATATGTACATGCAAAACATGTCTTCGCTCTTAGTTTATATATTTAGCTTATTCATGTCTCTTTTCATATACCAGTCAAAAATGTGATGCAATAAGACTAACTGAAGGACACGGTACGGTATATAAACAGTATATACATTGAAATGCTATAAGGCGATCTACCTGAGGTATCTGCGGGCAAAGAATAACCCTGTCACTAAACTTCATATCAGGCGAACATTACTCAGTCATCCAACATGTGCATCAAAGAAAAAATATGCATGACTGCAGATGAAACTCTTCAAAAGGAGTTTTAAGCACACTGAGTTGACAGAAAGCAGTTCTAACAGAGTCATACAGAAGGCTCTTCTCTGCACTACAGACAAGCACACTCTTTGATTTCAGGGCAACTCCACTTAAAAACTAAATAATTCAGAATGTTTTGAAACGATGTGCAGCTTAAGTTTGAAAAAGAACTGGGCATTCAAAAGCCGCCACAAAACACGGTGTACATAACGATTAAAGAGCTGTTAACGAAACAAGAGATTGCTGGTTGATAATAGCCCAGCATTCTGGCTAAAAAACGCTTGACTGTTGTTTCAGAGTTGAAACAGATGATCACTCAACATCCTGGTTTTTAGGTGAAGTGCTCAATGCACTAGAGAAATGTATAATTCACAACCTATTCAACTTACTAATGAATAATTAAAATATTTGCATGTGTATACGTCATTAAATCACGGAGCCTGTTTCTTTTACCATGCATTATTGCTGTGATATTTCTGTACTGTGTAATCACCTTTTACATCAAGTCGCATTTATTGTCATATGCACAGTTAAAAGCGAGTTTACCTGAACAATGAATATCTTAAATCTGCCTTCCACTCAAAACAAGGACAAAAACTGTATAAAGGAATAAATGCTAGAACATGTAAATCACTTGGATATACATACAAAAAGAGAGATCTGGATACAACTAGATATGGGTTTAGAAATAGATAGTTTTGTAGAGCTCACCCAGATATTTTCTTACAAACGCACAAAGGTCTCCGTGGGTCTAAGTCTTCATTTTGATCAGATTGAAGCATTTAATTTAATTATTAAAAGTACCAAGTATAAGTACAAAAAGTACAAAATCCTGTGAGAGACACAACTTTACAAATATTTAACTCAAAAAGCCTTACATTCTCCATGTATACTCGACCAAGTTTATCAGATTGTATTAACCTTAGTATGTCAAACTTCTGCTTTACTTTTATACTACAAAAGATCCACCGCTGAATACAGTCCATGCTATGTTATTTGACTCAGATATCATGCTGCAAAACTATTTTTGTAATGCATCATCTTTACACCATTCTGCTGTACCGTATCAATGTTTACAGCTTGTCTGGATGTTAGACGGGTGGCGAGTTATGCCCAGATAAGTAGGGTAGGAGTATTTTTCTCCCGCTGCCATAGAAATCGACGCTAAGGGAGAAAAAGAAGATACACTTAGGAGAGATCAATACCAGCTCGGACCAAAGTAAAATGGATGATACGACTGACCCGCTGAACTTGTTGGAGCAAAAAGTCATCAGACCATTAACAGAGCATTCATGCAAGAAGCTCACAGCAGCAGGGATAGAAAGGACAGACCTTCAGCAGCAGCTTTTGAGGACACACAATATACAGTACACTTAGAGCCAGCTAATCACACTGACCCCTTTGTATCATTTCATATTGAAATGTGCTTGCAAATATATTATATATCATTGAATTAGAAGGCGCATTTATTGAACAATATCATTGTAAATTGTATTTCTGGAGCAAATAGCAAAGAGCTTGCCAATGTGTACCACTATTTCTGTATCGTGATATTCTAGATTCAAAGATTTTAATGTCATATGCACATAAGCTACATTGTAGAAAGGGCAATGAAAATCGTATGACCCGAGCTCCTCCAACGATGCAACATATATAATAAAATACAAAAATAGAAGTAAAAGATAGTGNAACTCTGAATAATCTCTGAATAATCTCTGAATGATCTCCAAATTAACTCTGAATAATCTCTGAATAATCTCTGAATGATCTCCAAATTAACTCTGAATAATCTCTGAATAATCTCTGAATAATCTCTGAATGATCTCTGAATGATCTCCAAATTAACTCTGAATAATCTCTGAATAATCTCTGAATGATCTCTGAATAATCTCTGAATGATCTCTGAATAATCTCTGAATGATCTCTGAATAATCTCTGAATAGTCTCTGAATGATCTCTGAATTGCTCTGGAAGGGCAGGTGGCAGTAAGTGATTCTGCAGGAGGAAACACAGCTCAGTATCTCTGAATGATCTCTGAATGATCTCTGAATAATCTCTGAGTAATCTCTGAATAATCTCTGAATAATCTCTGAATTATCTCTGAATTAACTCTGAATAATCTCTGAATAATCTCTGAATAATCTCTGAATGATCTCTGAATGATCTCTGAATGATCTCCAAATTAACTCTGAATAATCTCTGAATAATCTCTGAATGATCTCTGAATGATCTCCAAATTAACTCTGAATAATCTCTGAATAATCTCTGAATAATCTCTGAATTAACTCTGAATAATCTCTGAATAATCTCTGAATAATCTCTGAATAATCTCTGAATAATCTCTGAATAATCTCCGAATAATCTCCGAATAATCTCTGAATAATCTCTGAATTAACTCTGAATGATCTCTGAATTAACTCCGAATAATCTCCGAATAATCTCCGAATAATCTCTGAATAATCTCTTAGATATCTCTCAAATATCTCAGAATAATCTCTTATCTCTAAGTGATGGTACCTCTCCCTGCTGAATTTGAGTGAGTGCAGCACAGCAGGGATCTTCTGCCTCAGGTTCCAGAGGTGGATGCTGTCGTCAGCCAACGCACTCACCAGCGCCCCCTGTGGTGAGGAGGGGGAGAAACACAGGGGAGGTTAGAGGGTGTGTGGCTTTAATAGGGGAAGGGCTGTTTTAGCATGTGGGTCAGGTGATGCTGGTTCTTCAGTGTGCGCTCACTGGAGAGCAGTCCGGTGATTCACAGCCGAACTGAAGAAGCTGAACTCAAATTCATTTCCAGCTGACATCTTGTGTCTGTTAGTGTTTTCTGACAGGAGATCAAACACACATCACCTTTAAGGGAAGTTTAAATGTTGTTCGAGTTTTCTGTTTGACTAAAGCTTTATAAAGTGTTAGTATAGTTTATGGCTCTAGGTTTGATACAAATGTTAAAAAAAAATCACAAATTAGACTTTGTTAGAATTTTCGTTTTTTTATACATTTTTATTTTTCTTACAGATTTGACTTTTTAATTAAAAAATTATGTTTTTTACACAAATTGTACTTTTTTGTTACAAAATGTACTTATTTATACAAATTAAACTTTTTTTGAAAATGTTTATTTCATATCTACATTATTGTCATACATTTCAATTTTTGTTACAAATTCAATTTTTTGTTTCAAATTTTATTCTTTTTGTTACAAATGTACTTTTAGTCAAATTTTTATTTTTCAATTTCTAATTTCTTTCTCTACTTTTTCAAATTATTAGGAGCAATTTTGTTTAAATGTAGAGCCTTAGCTAAGATACTAAGGCTCCGTTTACACGGAGACTAAACGGGTGTTATCCGCTACAGTGCTCTATCGTATGGACGGTCCGTTCACACGAGGCCGTAACGGAGCCGCAGAAACGGAGCCCTCAAACGATAACGGGTCCCAAGGTGGGAAGGTCTGCGGACGGAACGCTCCGGGGGCCTAACGGGTCCGTGTGTACTTCCTATACGATCATTTCCTGATAACGATGACGCCATAGCCCCGCCTCTCCCCACCCCTGCTGCTCACTGCTGTAGCATGGTCATTAGCTACCGACCATGCTACAGAGGTTAGTGCAAAATCTACAGCTCCTCGACCACAACCATCAGCAACAAGTGGACATGGAGAACTACATGTTGCTAAATCCACGCGGGGCATAAACAGAAGGGCAACCATGGCAACCATGCTCGGTGGGTCTTCTTCGCTGCTTTTGGTGTATTTTGTGGCGTGAGTACAGCGCCACTTACAGGCCCAACATTTTTGATATTGAATTCGTTTCGTTCTCCGTTTCGTCTCCGTGTAAACGGAGCCTAAATGTGTGAGACTAACTTTTGCACCAGTTGCAAAGTAAGCAGTTGCAGTATAAACACATTTTACTTTTTTACACAAATGTTACAAATTGTACTTTTTTTAAATGTAGGCCTATTAGCTGAGATACTTATTGTGTTACAGTTGCAAAGTAAGACGGTAGCAGTACAAACAGCTTCGTCAGTGGGCAGACCTGAAGGCGTGTGAAAACATTCAGGAAACCCAAACAAGCAGGAACAGGAAACACAAACCTCGTTGATCAGGAACTGCAGCTGAATCACCGCCGCGCCGCTCTCATGCTGACAGTAACACTCCACGCCTGCACGGCCAAAACTGGGACGGGAGTCAAGGAAAACTGGAGCAGCAGTTCAAAAGTGGGAAGAGCAGTCACACAGAATGCAGATCAACTCGTGCATTGGTGTCAGGTTTCAGGATCATTTCTACATTCATTCTGAGGGTTTCTAAACAGAAACTCTCTCTAAACTCTTTGCTCTTTATTCCAAATGTTAGCTGGCGTTCCCACGTATCATTTGCATCCCTGAAGAGTCCTGACACATATCAAACTGGTTATAAACACAAGCAGAGGGAGCAGACGTGTTTATTGGTGCGTCAGCAGGATGATGATTATCTCTCACCTTCAGATCAGGTCAACCTGCAGCTGACTCAAATCAAACCAGAGCTGCATCAAACAGCAGACCAGTCTACTTGATGATTGGTTGACAGCTTGAGTCTTCCTGCAGAAATGTCTCTTTGATTTATATCGTATTCAAACGAATATATCTTTGAGCTTTGGATTGACGTAACAAGACATTTAAAGACCTTTTTGAACCGTTCTCCAACATGTTGTGCAAACAGTCATTTCATTCATCTATAGATCTGTGCATTCAAAAACAACCGGGACAACAGTTGAGGGAAAATGTGCATTACGTCCAACAGCCTTTAACGCACATGGAACCAGGAAATGTGCGTATATTTAGGATTGGCTGGCGCACTGAAGAGTGCTCATGGTAACCATCCATATGAGCCGTTTAGGACACGGCGAGTGTGTGTGCACTAAGGGAGGACTCTATGACTGCATGTGACGGACACAGAGGGACCGCAATGCATCCCACAGATCTCACTCTCTCTCACACACACACACACACACACACACACACACACACACACACACACACTTAACGCCTCACACTCTCAGTGACCTCTTTGCTGTGTGTGTGTGTGTGCACTAAGGGAGGACTCTATGACTGCATGTGACGGACACAGAGGGACTGCAATGCACACACACACACACACACACACACTCTCAGACTTAACACCTCACACTCTCAGTGACCTCTTTGCTGTGTGTGTGTGTGTGTGTGTGTGTGTGTGTGTGTGTGTGTGTGTGTGTGTGTGTGTGTGTGTGTGTCACATATTAAAATCTCCTGTCTGCAGAGCAGGAATGCCAGTCTGATGTTAATAAGTGACTCTGGAGGAAGTCAGAGTGCTGACCTGAGGAGAACTCACTAACAGAATGTGTGTGTTTATTGAATTGCTATCAAAGTGAATAAATGTGGGTTTTGGACTGAAAACAAAAAGCTGCAGGGATGTGGTGTTTCTGTGTTGGAAGGCAGCATCTCCCTGGTCCAATGAGATTCCTCCGTGAGAGTTCGGTTTATTGCAGAGAGTAATCATCTCTGTGGTGTTTTCGTTACACATTTTTACTTTTTGTTACAATTTTACTTTTTTTATCCACATTTTAGACGTTTAGTTCAGCGGATCATCTCCAACGCCACTTTATGATTTTTCCTTCTGCAGATAATCAAACATGGTGAGTTTGCAGCCCTCAGTGTGTATGCAGGTTAGGGCTGAACGATTGATTTTAAATCGAAATCGCAATTTGAAATGATGCAATTATCAAATCACAAAGCCTGAGATTTCTTTATTTATTTTTAATTATTATTTGTTTAGTTCTTCTTGTGTGTCAGTCATCCACACCAATCAGAAGTGCTGTGCTCCACATGCACCAGTCATTGTTAACCAATCAGAAGTGGCCCATGATAGAAGGTGATAGACAGATTGATCCAATCACCTGCCATGTATCTTTGAAAGTGCCTGCCCTTTCCAAATGGCTTCCAGTGGAGCTTTAGATGGTTTGGTGAAACAAACCATCTGAGTCAGGTTAGTAATGCTCCATCACATGTTTCTATTACAGGGTGAGTCTTAAACTGAAGCTTGACTTTAAAGCAACCCAACGGAAGTTTCATGGAAGTTTAGTTCTTTCACTCGTAGCTCGGGCTGCGGGGGTGCTAGAGACGGGAGCACGTTGATGCGACCTTCCTAGCCGGAGATATGGCCGCATTTTACAATAAACTTCCGTTGGGTCGCTTAAAAACAAATATCACAAATCGAAACACAATATCTGTCAGAAAAATCGCAATTAGATTATTTCCCCAAATCGTGCAGCCCTAATGTAGGTGGGTGTGGGTGGGTGTGTGTGTGTAGGTGTGTGTGTAGGTGTGTGTGTAGGTGTGTGTTTAGGTGTGTGTGCAGGTGTGTGTGCAGGTGTGTGTGTGCAGGTGTGTGTGTAGGTGTGTGTGTGTAGGTGTGTAGGTGTGTGTGTGTGTAGGTGTGTGTGTATGTGTGTGTGTAGGTGTGTGTGCAGGTGTGTGTGCAGGTGTGTGTGTAGGTGTGTGTGCAGGTGTGTGTGTGCAGGTGTGTGTGTATGTGTGTGTGTGTAGGTGTGTAGGTGTGTGTGTGCAGGTGTGTGTTTAGGTGTGTGTGCAGGTGTGTGTGCAGGTGTGTGTGCAGGTGTGTGTGCAGGTGTGTGTGTGTAGGTGTGTGTGTGCGCAGGTGTGTGTGTAGGTGTGTGTATGCAGGTGTGTGTGTAGGTGTGTGTGTAGGTGAGTGTGGGTGTGTGTGTGTGTAGGTGTGNAAGTTGAATCTTTAATCTTCTTCAATGTAGTCAAACATTTAGATGTACATTTTGGGGTTGGGATTAAATCAGTGTAAAGTTCTTCCCACCCCTTTTCGGATGTGTAATTAGGTAGATCATTTGTTTATATAGCATTTGTAAGTCAATAATATGTTTGTTTATCAATTTGATTCTGCTTAAGTTTGTACAGTATCATAATTCTCTTGTTTCATTTAATTTTTTTTAATTATTGTTTTACACGTTCGAAATCAAATCAAATTATCCTGGACAAAGTCCCAGGGCGCCGTACATAATGGCAGCCCACTGCTCCTAACACTAGGATGGGTCAAATGCTGAGAAACCGTTTTATTACACCGCACCTGTACTACATAATGACAATAAATTGAATCTTAATCTCAATCTTAATTATGACAATCATTAATGTTCTCTAAATGGCCCAGAAATATTCGGAAATCACTTTAGCTTATGTTTTGTTTTTATATTGGAGATAGGACTTGGACCTTTATAACAAACAATGTTTAACATGCTCACATCCAAACTTGACCCTGGCCTCCTTGCTGATGACGGTGCCGTAGATGTTCCTGGCGACGCAGATGTACGTCCCGGCGTGTTTGCTCTGTCTGGGGTTGGTGACCACCAGGTTCCCCCCCACCAGGCTGTAGTGCTCGTCCGGCTGCTCCATCAGCTTGATCTCCCAGCTATCACGGCGCCACCTAGCAGCAGGCGGGGAGAAAGGTTGAGATACTTAAGTAAAATTGCAATACTACGATGTAAAAACACTTTGCTAGATGTCACAGTCTCAAAACAGTTGCCTAAGTGAAAGTGCACAGCATAGCTTTTTAGCTTCAAGAATCAAAGGTAAAAGTACTTTTTTTTAAATATACAATTACAGAATAAGAAAAGGACAGAAACATACTGTAATGCTCACTTTCAGTTTTCTATTTTAAACATCCCACCCCCATCCACCCTGCCTCGACCTCAGGTAAGAAACAAAATTAAGCACACAAAACAAAAATAATTCTAAATAAATTGTTAATAATAATAAGGGAAAACTTTAAGCAATAATATTCTTACAATAAGAATAATATGAACCAAAAGGACTCAGTCATCTGATCTGTTAGGCATAATATCCAGAGTGTCTATGAAAGTCTATTAAAGTTCTGGGTACAAGTATTCTTTATGCAAAATGAACAAATGTTACAAATTGTTGGGAGCTTTTAAATGTTGTCACGGTATTTTATGAGAAATCTTATTTTCATTTTTATGATCAGATAATTTTTACATTTTAAATGTGCGATGGCTGACTTCATATATGGTGGCCATGACAACAGTTAGAGTTAGTGCTGTAAAAGGTACAATATTTCCATATGAAATATTGTAGTGTATAAGTATAACGTTGGAGAAAACGGACGTTCTTAAAATGCATAGAAATTCTACTTGATTGAATGTATTTTGGGTGATCCAAGATAATTGTCCAAAAGACATTGACCCACATGTGTCATACCCAGTACTTGTGGTATAAACACTGTTAATCCTGTATGTTCAGTAAATATTCTTCATTGTGTTTAACCTGTATGAAGCAGGGGGGTTTGCTCGGGCCCTGCAGTTCATGGAGATCCTGCCGTCAGGAGAGTCCTCAGAGTACACCACATCCACCGGCTCCTCCTCAAAGATGGGGCCGTATCCAGTAGCATCATCTGACAAAGTGTACATAACAAATGAGCTGACACTCTGATTTAAAAGTCACCCTGAAACGTATGTGCAATTACTCCGCGAAACTCACCTCCGTAAATTCTAGGCTCGTTAAAAAGTACCGCCACTGCAAAGCAAGAGATAAAGAAGTCACGTCAGCAAACCAACACTTGCTCTGTGGCACGAATAAAGGTATTCTGATTCTGATTCTTAAGGGGGGGTTTATTTTCCTACCTGTGAGGGAGACTGATGAGGAGAGAGCCAGGAGTAGAACAGCAGCAGCGGCAGCCATGACGGTCAACAACCAGACTTAATGCAGCAGCGTGATTTAGGGGGATGAGCAGAGGGACGCAAAGAAGAAGAAGATGGACAGGGCATGAACTGGAGAGGCCTGAGGAGACACAAAGAACATATTTTAAGCTGTCAGAAACAATCTATCATGAAAACACTCTGAGATATAACACCACACTGATGACTGTGCAGGATTTTCCACACCAGAAACACTGCAGATGGAATCTTCCCTGCTGCATATAAAAAATGTTCATGTGAGTGACTCAGCAGAATACTGCACAAGCACATGCAGAGACACAAAGGCCTGTGTGTGTGTGTGTGTGTGTGTGTGTGTGTGTGTGTGTGTGTGTGTGTGTGTGTGTGTGTGTGTGTGTGTGTGTGTGTGTACAACACGCAGGGGAACACTGCAGTACGTAGACAGCTCCTGCTCCTGCGTCACAC